GGAAAAGTGAATAAAGGAAAAGAAAAAAATATGAGAAAATGAAAAAATGGAAATAAAGTGTTTGTAAATGGGGAGGGGAGAAGGGGGTGAAGGGAGGGCAGGGACAAAGGGAAAAAATGAGAACCAAGATCTGTCATGTGAAGGTACAGGATCCCAATGATGAATGTGACTGTACTGTATACCTAAAATGTACCAATAAACTCAATTAAAAAAAAAAGTTTACCAACAAAGAAAAGCCCAGGTCCTGATGAATTCACTGCTGAATTTTACAAGACATTTAGAGAAGAACTACTTACTGCCACTACACTTTAAACTTTTCAATGAAATTGAAAGGGAAGCAATACTTCCAAATTCATTCCTGGAAGCAACTATTACTTTGATTCCCAAACCAGGGAAAGACCCAACTAAAAAAGAGAACTACAGGCCAATCTACTTAATGAATATACATGCAAAAATCCTTAATAAGATACTAACAAACAATACAGAGGATAATCAAGAAGATCATACATCCTGACCAAGTTGGATCTATTCCAGGGATGCAAGGATGGTTCAACATACGTAAGTCAATAAATGTAATACACTATATTAACAGAGTCAAGGACAAAAACCATATGATCCTCTTGATAGATCCAGAAAAAGCATTTGACAAGATTCAACACCTATTCATGATAAAAACTCTGCAAAAAATTGGAATAGATGGTCTATATCTCAACTTAATAAAGGCTACCTATGAAAACCAACAGCCAACATCATATTAAATGGCCAAAAACTGAAAACCTTCCCGTTAAAACCAGGAACAAGACAAGGAAGCCCACTATCACCATTCCTCTTCAATGTAGCTCTGGAAACATTAGCCACAGCAATTAGACCAAGAGAAAGAAATTAAAGCAATAAAGATAGGAAAGGAAGAAGTTAAACTGTCATTATTTGTTGACGATGTGATACTCTACATTGAAGACCCAAAAAATTCCACCAGAAGACTTCTAGACTTAACTAACACTTTTAGCAGAGTTGCTGGATACAAGGTCAACACTCAAACATCAATAGCCTTCTTGTACACAAATGACAGACTCACTGAGAGAGAAAAAATTAGGGAAACAATTCCTTTCACAATTGCATCCAAATGAAGTATCTAGGAATTAATCTAATGAAAGATGCAAAAGACCTCTACACCGAAGACTACAGTACTTTGAAAAAAGAGATTGAAGAGGATATAAGAAAATGGGAAGATATGCCCTGCTCCTGGGTAGGAAGAATCAACATAGTGAAAATGGCCATACTACCAAAACTGCTGTGTAGATTCAATGCAATGTCGATTGAAATTTCAACACTGTATTTCACAGAACTAGAAAAAATAATCCAAAAATTCATTTGTAACCAGAAGAGACCTAGAATAGCAAAAGCCATGATAAGTAACCGAGACATGGCAGAGGGTATAACAATTCCCAATTTGAAACTATACTACAAAGCCACTGTGATTAAAAACAGCATGGCACTGGCAAAGAAACAGACCTGAGGATCAGTGGCATAGATTGGAAGATACAAAAATAACTCCAGACATACTCAGCTACCTCATCTTTGACAAAGGAGACAACCATCCTCACTGGAGGCAAGATAGCCTGTTTAATAAATGGTGTTGGAAAAACTGGATTTCAACCTTTCAAAGATTCAAACTAGAACCTTATCATTCACCATGCACTAAACTAAAATCCAAGTGGATTAAGATATAAATATTAAAAAAGAGTCACTAAATTTGCTGGAAGAGAAATTAGGCAGAACGCTTGAAGACATTGGCATGGGAAAGATTTTATGAACAATCCTCGGTAGCACGGGAACTAGCAGAAAGAATCAACAATTGGGATCTCATCTTATTAAAAAGCTTCTGCCTTGCAAAAGAAACCATCAACAGAACTAAGAGACAACCTACAATGTGGGAAAAAATGTTTACCAGTTGCTCCTCAGACAAAGGACTATTATCTAGAATATATAAAGAACTCAAAATAATCAGTCCCCCCAAATATTAAGCCCCAATTCAAAAATGGGCATCTGAAATGAACAGACATTTCTCAGACAAAGAAGTAAAAGTGGCAAGTAAATATATGAAAAAATGTTCCACATCACTGGTCATTTGAGAGATGCAGATGAAAACAAAACTGAGATTCCACCTCAACACACAAAGAATGGCTGCTGTCAAGAAATCAAACAATAACAAATGTTGGCTGGGTTGTGGGGAGCAAGGAACCCTTCTCCATTGTTGGCGGGAGTGCAGACTGGTCCAACCACTATGGAAATCAATATGGAGATACCTCAAAGAACTAGGTTTAGAGGTTCCATTTGACCCAGCCATCCCTCTGTTGGGTATCTTTCCAAAAGAATTAAAAGAATCATATCACAGTGATATATGTGTACCTATGTTTATAGTGGCACAGTTGGAATAGCTTATATTTGGATACAACCCATTTGCTCATCAGTTGGAGACTGGATAAAGAAGATGTGGTTTTTCCATAAAATGAAATACTACTTAGCCATAAAGAATGAGAAAGTAGATTCATTCATAGGTGAATAGGTTCATTTTGAGGATATACTCCTAAGTGAAATAAAGAAGTCATATATATATAAATACTGAATAGTTTCTCTGGTGTGAAAAAATATAATAGTACATAAGATCCTAGTGGTATAATTGATACTGTGAAATAGGAAGAAAAGGGATAAAGGTGTAGGGGAAATGGGAATGGTAGGGGAAAGGTAATAAGGGAAAAAATATGAGAAAATGAAAAAATGGAAATAAAGTATTTGTAAATAGGGAAGGGAGAAGGGGTTGAAAGTAGGGCAGGGATAAGGGGAAAAGATGAGAAGCAAGACCTGTCATGTAAAGGTACAAGATCCCAATGATGAGTGTAACTGCACTGTATACCTTAAATGTTCCAATATATTCAATGAGAAAAAAAAGAAACCTTTTGAAGATGAATCTTGATCCTACTGATACTATTACTTCTATATCTATTATTCCCAACTCTTACCAATATTTTTTCTACAATGGCCCAGGGTTATATATGGACAACTAAAGCACACATAATGTACTTCCTTAATCAAACAGGAAAGTCACTTCCTACTGCTCCATATTGGGGGCGCGATCTGAGCTTACTCATTGGGAGCACCATCACATTTATTAAACTCATCCCATTGCATGTTCAAAGGAGCAGCAAGTCGAAGGATCCGAAATATGCTCACCCGCTAGAGCATTCTCCCAGATTGTTAGCTTTAAAGTGTATTTCCTGGACAGGACTAAACTTTGATGATTACTCTAAAAAATATTTGTATAAGATTTTGAGTATTTCTGCTGTGTGGTGTGGCTTAGCCAATGCCTTTAGTTTAGGACTTGTGCCCTGAATAAATAACTCCTAATCCACCCGATTTTGTAAACTGAACCCATATTACTGTTACTCTTGTTGCTTATGGTACTTGCCCAGAATAATGCAAAGGATGATGTCTAATTATTGATATTTTGCAAAGATAATTTCAATTTAAAAGAGAAAACTTCTTAAAACAATTTTTTAGTAATAAAAAATTAGAGCAGAACTCCTTGATCACAACTTGGGTTTATAGTTTTACAGATTTGATAATGCTTTTTATCTCTTAAATTAAAATTGATGCTATATTATTTTTATGTTTTCCAGAAATATTTTAGAGCCATCATACTGGCAACTTTTTAAAAATTTACTGAAGAAATTAGTGACAAATTTCTCCGTCCAAAAATTTAAAGCAGTTTATATTCATTCATCCTCTGTGTAGAGAAATTGGAAGATGGAACAGGAAATATTTATCAAGTACTTCATAAAAATAAACTGCTCCCTTAATTATTAGTATTAACCAATGTCACTGTCATACATTATTCCTTTGGTTTGTCAGAAATTCACACTTGAGGAAATACCCTTACGATCATCGCTCGAGACAGTTTCCTTGTTAAAGTTCTCTCTATCTGTCTTTCACTATAAGTGATTAGAGCAAGTGCTTACCAGTGATTTAGTTAATTTATAGAAAATAGAATCAATTTCTCTTGTTTCATCAAGATTGAACATTTTCCTGAACTCTGGTAAATGAGCAACAACAGATAAGCACTATTTATCAGATTGTTTGGTACAGCATGTAATTTTGATTATTCTATTTTCTTGTTGTTGTTAATAAAATATATAACATTCCTGAAGAAAAAAACAATTGCAGAGGTTGGCCTGTGAGCATTCAGGAAGAAATGAGTATTTTGCTAAGAATTTATTTTGCATACTCTCTCTAAGAGGCCATGCGAAGGCAGCAATGTTCGAGAATATATGAGATGCCTTTCAGGGTCCCATATCCCAGGGCCCGGAGAACACCGTTGTCAGGGGACCTTGGTCTACCCAGAAAGCCAAAAGTCACTTAAAAAGTCCTTGTGGTGCTGAGAATTCCATGGAGTTGTTGAGGCACCACCACAGGGTACCTTGATACTTTCAATCTGACAAATTCAAGGGACACTTCCCTTCAGTGTCACAGGATTGGGGTGGGCATTTCAAGAGATGAATTTTCGCCTTTGCTGCCTTTCCTATTCATCTCTCATGCAGAAGAAGCAAAGGGTAAGGACTACCACTTGACCACACTGTCTTCCTAGGTCCTGCGACAGCTATGGCCATTCGGAATGAAATGCACTGCAAAAGCCAGAGTGCAAATATGAAAGCAGCTGAGGTAAGGATGCTTGTGGCATTCAGAGCCTCTGGAGGGAATCATGCTTTTTGGACCTATTTTATGGACTGCTTTCTAAAAATAAATCACCTCTCTCTTTGACAAAAGGATAATTATAATTAAATGTGTGAGAAATGATAGGAAGATAGGCTAGCCATCATGACTTCCTCCATGTGTCTGCAGACCTTGCTCTCAGAGGGTTGACTTGAAGAAACGAGACCTGGACATTGGGGAAGATAGATAGGTCGAGGCTGGAGTGACCTGGATGTCACCTCCCTCTTGCTTACCAAGGTCCATGCTTTTTGAGGCTTTAAGGTTAATTGATTCAGGCTGCCTGGCCGGTGTCACGGATCTGAAGTTGATGTGCTGATCAGGAAAATATACTGCTGAATCCACCCCAGAGCTGTGGAAAGAAGACATACATTGTATGGTGGGGGAGGGGGTAGGGAGAGAGAGGGAGAGAGAGAGAGAGAGAGTGAGTTAGCTCTCATTTTGAACATAGACACTCATCACTCTCTCTGTAGCCTGTACCCATTTATTTTAAACCAATTCTTAAATCTCAGGTTTCTTTTAAGAGATGCAGCAACTCTATTTTCATGTATTTTATCATGGAGTACAATTTCAATAAGATATTCTCTAGCTAATATCATGTTTTACCCTTCACTGACTTCTTCTAATTGAGATCTTGCTCTGTGTGGGGGACTGGGAAGCATTAGCCCTTCAAAGCATAGCACCAGATACTAGCAGAGCCATAAAGGGGGATCAGAGATGTCTGTGAGATAAGCATGCCCTTCCTGTGGAGACAAGTGAAAGGCTGTATCCTCAGAGAAAACCATCTTCTTGAATGGCTCATGGCTGAGGAAACATGGTTTTCTACCTTATTTAGATCCATCTTCTAAAACTAATGTTAATGCTTAACAGATAGTATGCTCATCATTAATATCAACAGGAAATTACTCAAAGAGCACAGCTGATAATTTAGACACAAGATACATCAAATTCCCCTTACAGGTTTCCTGGTACTTGTGGTAATTCTCAAAGAATTTTCTTTCTGTTGTACATTTTATTTACTTCTCTTGAGGATGGAAGGGATTATATGTAGAAATTAACCGATAATTGCTCATATCTTGATATAGAAATTATATATTTTCATAAATTAAATTACAGCCATGTTTTCCCTTGGTAGCACACAGGTGTCTTATCTCAAGGTGACTTCTATCATTATCTATTGTACAGTGAAAACTCAAATCCAGTATCCTGGACTGATGGTGAGTTTTTCAAAGAGTTGAGGTTTGATATTTTAAACAACAAAACAACAAAGATTAATTTTTGGAAGAGACTCCTAAAGTATACAAAGATATATTCATTTTTAAGTTAAATATATCAAAATAAGTCATTTAAAAATATCTATCATGGATGTTTAATATTACTTGACAGCACTGCTAAAATTAATATACAGCAATAATAAAATTCCTGAATGATCAAATGGCTTCAATTGTTACTCTGAAATGGATAGACTAGGGAAGTCCTTGCGTTAGGCAGCACAGAACAGCATTTGAAATCCAGGAGGTCAGAGTAGGTTTGCCCAGTTTAAACCCTGCGTCTTCTATTTACTAGCTGTGTGATTGGGCAAGTTATTGGACTTCTCTTTTCTTCAGTGTCCTTCCATCGAAAATAATTATAATTACATATCTATACCTAAAAGGGTGGCTAAAAGGATAGAATAGGTTAAGATTTGGAAAGTAATGAGAATTGTGTTTGCAAAGAGTTAGTGCTGCAGAAATAGTTTACAAATAAGGAAATAAATAGACCTGCTTTTGCCTCCCAAATAGCTATGAATGTCTCAGCTTTTTCACTGACCTATGTTTTTTACAGTTTCCTTATTTCTATTTTTGTCAGACTCTCAGTAGAGCTATGATGAAGATAGGGTTGGGGCCTGAGGAAATGTCAGGTTGTATGATCTCAGTTTCCACAGATAAAGAATGGGTAGTGATAGAATCTATAACATTGCTGTAAGAATGCAATAAAAGATATCTATGTACATAAAATAAAATTTAAAAAAGATACACTATGTACTAAGAGTAGTAGTGTCTAGTATATGGAAAAAGCTCAATCGATAGGAACTATTAATAATCTTTTTTTTTTTTTTAAATTTTGGTGGGCTAGAGTTGTCTCTGAAATGAGGGCCTGGGGCACTCTCCAGTGAAAAGATTTTTCATATTTTCATGAAAATTTCTCAAGTTTTTAAATCTACTCTTTGGAACTATGAAGATTTTTTGATGTCCAGTTTTAGTAGAGAACATTTTTATAAAAATCTTTTTGGTACCAGGGATGAAATTCATGACCTTGCGCTTGTCCATGTACATTTTTTTTTTCTTTGTACTGGGGATCGAACTCAGGTCCTTATGTTTGCAAGGCAGGTGGCAGAACCACTGAGCTAAGTTGCTGGCCCGTCCAGGTACATTTTTAATAGATGATGCCACTGATGTATGAAATATATAAGATGCCCATATCTAGAAATGGCAGAATACAACAGTTGCGAGAAAAAATGCTAGCACGTTCTACTAGCACTACTTTCATTTTTTTCAGCCCATTTTAAAGAATACTGAGATGCCACCATGAACAAAAACTTCCTCCTGAACCTTGGCATTTTGGGAGACTTGCCTTTAAATGTGTTATTCGACCTTTATTTGCACTTAGTTTTTATCCTTTGATCTCTTGTAATGATGGTAGATTAGTGTCAGAAAGACTTATGGCTTGCACAGAATCAAAGAATTTAAGAGCTGGAAGGGATTAAAGGTCACCTCATCTTTTAGATAAGACTTTGAGGCTCAAAAGGGAGGACTAATGTCCCAAGGTCACACAGGTGGCCAAGGGCAAATCCAGGACCAAAGCCTCAAGCTTTGGGTAAAATAGTGGCCACTCTGGGATGCAAATTGTTGCAATCCCAATTCACCAACATCAAGCCTTTTTTGTGAGTGCAGGTTTGCTTACAATTTCTTGTGCAACTTGCATTTTAGGTTTTCTTTTTGTTTCAATAGAGTCATGAAATAAAAAGCTGAATATTTACTTGAGACATATGCTATACATTATAATGAAAACTTTCAGGGAGAAAGTTTAGGGTCAGTATAAATATTCTTCTGTGAAACAAAGATCACAGCACATTTAAAGTCTTCTGCTCAAGGCAGACTAATGGTTACCTCAATAGATCCTTTAATTATTTTACCAACCTATGTAATAATTAACACAATAAGAATAAGAATCCAAAACTTCCCCGACTCTTGGGAAATAATGAACCTTATCCCATTTTAAAAATAGGATGACAATGTCACTTGATAGAGTAACATTAAGTTAGGATCAGTCGAAAAAAGTTTATTTTTATACAAATATTAGGATATAATTAAGGATAATCAAAGAAATCAAAGCTTCTTCAAACATATGGGTGCAATAAATATATTATTCATATTATATATGCCTGATTTATGTCTGTTAATTTGATCATGATATATATTTCTGTTACCATTATTTTGATTGTGACAAAGTATACACTGTAAAACATAAAAACCTTAAATAGAAAGTGGGAAGGGTAGGGGAAAGGTAATAAGGAAAAAGAAGAAAATAGGAGAAAATGAAAAAAATGGAAATAAAGTGTTTGTAAATGGGGAGTGATGGAGGGGGTGAAGGGAGGGCAGGGACAGGGGGAAAAAATGAGAACCAAGACCTGTCATGTAGGGGTACAAGATCCCGATAATGAATGTAACTGTACTGTATATCTAAAATGTACCAATAAACTCAATGAGAGGAAAAAAAAAACCTTAAATAGAAGGATTTATCTTGCCATGGGAAAAAATAGAAATACAAAATAAGTCAGATGTGAGACTGACAGATATTTAAGGAGGGAAATGGATGCAATAAAAGACATTATAGGATTAGAGCCAATGTGAGCATATAATGCACTGAAATAATGAGTACAGCACTGAATTAGTTAATGTGAAAATAGTTTAAACATGAATTTAGACTAGTAAAATGGATTGCAATTTTATGCTACGCGTCCAAAGTGTTTGGAGTAAGAAGATGACAAAATGATTAACTATGAAACAGGACATATTTTAATTTTGAAGGGGGTTAGTGTGTGCTCATGGCTGAGTGGGCTGCAGTCGAGGCTTCAGGAAGCTGAAAGTTGACAGCAGGCCAAAGACATGTCCAAGATAAAGGCCGTGTTTTCAGCATGAACAACCAGGGAATCTATCAGATAGAAATGATACTCGATGTCAAATTATGCTGCATAATGAATAAATAAGGGTAGCATGGGACATATGCCAATGTCTTGAAGAAGGTGACAACCAGGAATGTGAAAGACACAGAAGAGTCAGCAATGAATGTTCAAGAAGAACTGTCTAAATGAAAATGGAAGATTTTGAGAGGTAAACAAAACAAAATAAAACCTCGCCACACAAAAGCATTGTGTCTTATGGCTCAGATGTCTGTGACTAGGCTCTGGCAACTAGCTAGTATGAGTGAGAGGGAATGCCCATCTTGCGTGTGAAGAAGAGGGGAGGGGGAAGGGAGGGAGGAAGGCTGGGAAAGAGAGAGAGGAAAAATATACACACACAGGAATTTCAAAAGTTGTCTAAACTGTTAATAATACTCAATAATTCTGTCCACTGTCAGTTTGCTTTAACCTCTCCTTACGATCCACAGTTAAAATACATTTCCCTTCCATTTATTTATTTCAACATTTATATTCTAAATCTTTCTCTCATAATTATTGAAGACACAGCAGAATTTCTTGATTTCATTCTGGTTCAAAGTATAAACATTAAATTTGATCAAATCCCTTTCCCCTCTTCATGTAACATCAGTTTTCTGCTTTATAAGACTGGCACTACGTCTAGAGCACTGATTTCCCTTTTAGAGGATCATAAATGTTTTTGAAGAGAGTTCAGCATCCCTTGCTCAATCCTCTTGGCTCTCCTCCAGTCCACCACCCTCTATCCTAAGTTTCACACATCCAAAGCCTGTTGCTATTGGTAACCTAGGCAACACTGCAGCTTGCAGCATCGTGCAGGTCATTGGTTCCTAGGAAGGGGTGGGTTGCAAGGCTTAAGATTTACTCCTTTCACTTCAAAATTATTATGATTCTTTCCTCTCCATGTATGCTTCTTTTCTGTTGGTTCAGGGCCTGTTCTTCTCTTGCTAGTCCCAAGTCTAATGGATCTTTGCTTATGGCTTCCCCCACCCACTCCATCCTCCAAAATGGAAATTGCTCAAGGCCTGATATTATCATCCTCAAACCCTTTAGAGCTTCTCCACTTCTCTACAAAGAAGCAATGAGCTTGTGGAGCAAGGTACACAGTGTCTCAAACACAGATTCTCTCTCAAGACGACACGTGCTTCAGCTACACTGAACATAGGATATATTCTTTTCCCTCATCACTGGGTTTTTCTAACCTAAATTGAAATTCCTACTACTTCTCTGGATGGTGGGCTCCTTCCCATTCTCCAAAAAATCACTCTTGTGAAACCCTCCTTAATCCTGCAGGCAGAGTTAGGGGCTCATTCTGCTGGGCTCCCATGGAACTCTGTATCCAGTGCTTAGCAGGCTGCACGCTAGTTACCTGTGTCAGTCTCCTTAGGAGGACCCTGTATTGCTTGAATTTAGGGATGCTTTTAATCCATTTTAGTACCTTACACGGTGTCTGGCTCAAAGCTCCAAAAATACTTTGAATGAATAGTGAGGGAGTGAATGGCATAATGACCAAATACAGCAGAGTGGAAAAGAAGAATAAAGTCTGATTAAATGTCATACCTTTCACAAAAGGGAGATTACTATGGGTGTTTAAGAGAGCAGTTATAGTTAAGTGGTGAGAACAGAAGCTTAAACATAGAAAATTAGGAGGAAAAGGTGAAAAGAAAGTTATTAGCTGGTACCACATAACGAAGCTTTATGTCAGTCAGTGACAATGTAAGCTTTTCTTTTTATTTCCAAGATCACAGAAAAACATACTTTACATAAAAGGAAAGGGAAAAAACCTGTAGAGACAGTGAAGAAACCAGGAAGGCACTTGCTAAATCCTAAAGATTACTTCTGCCTTGTCTCTGACCTATCCCTTTCCCTGAAGGTTTCTCACCTGAGAGCCTCTCCCTGTCCTCTAACACAATTAGTAAGTCCTTATCACAGCACTGCCCCAGCAGGGATCCACAAATCCTTTTCCATTTACCTGGTCCATGTTATACACAAAGAAAACATAGGTGTCACCAGACCTGTTGTCTCTTTACATCCTACAATACAATTTTAATATCTACAAATGAGGTCTTTAGAATTCATTCTTGCATTATCATCTAGCCAAGCAGCCAGGATGTAAGTTGCACAAATCGATTTACTCTTCCACCTCCTTACTGTTCTTTCTACCTGCCCTTCCCTCTCTGAAATTCACTTTCTTTCACCTCATCCTCGCCTCCAGCAATGATTTAAGCTTCAGCTCAAGGTTATTTTTACCATTTTCCTTGTTTCCTGTACCTGGAAGCGCTCTCCTCTGCCTCAAATGCCCAGATTCTTTCAACTATTACACCTCCTTTGAAGTATCATTTCATATGTCATGATCTAGTTATCACTTTTGCCGCACTGGTCTACTGGCCTGTTGAGAGTAGGGTTTCTATCTGACTCAGCTCTGTGTTGTCCCAGTGGTTTTGCACATACTATAAACACAGAATAAATGGTCAAATAGAATGAATGAATTTATTAAAAACATTTTTTAAATATCATTCAACTGTCCTTTTGGATTCAGGGCTGAAGCAAACAATGGAAATAAAAATTAAAAAAATTAAATACATCCTAATTTTCTAATAATAAAGCTATGGAAATACTGATCTAGAACATTATTCTAATTATAAAATCATATTAAGTTCATGAAATTGTACTTTAGAAGATAACTTATTTCAAAAACATAAGAATCAATGATAGCTATATGCACACATAGTTTTCTGTCTAATAGAGTTAGCTACACTCTTGCTGTGTTGCTTTATTTTTAGCAGATTGTATTTAAGAGCATAATGGAAATGACACTAGCATTACAGCAAGAAAAATGAAGAAATTTCACAGGATTATCATGGAACATAGGATGGAATAAAATACACTGGTTTTTAAGAGCCTTAATAAATACAGAAAATAGCAAAGAGACAATTTAATGATTTTTAAAACTCATCAGAAGAACAAAAAATCTATGAAATCCACTAGTCAAATAGTATGTATGCTTAGTAAATATCTCTCCCTCATGTTTGTGTGATTCTAAAAATTATCGATTTTTTTGTTTCTATTACGGAATGGATATAATATTGGGTACCCTTCTCAATATTTTAGATTTTATGTGGCGTTGCTTTAATTTTTAGATTTCATTAACTCTTGAAACATCTATTTTAAAAATATCTTTAGGGTTGGTCAATTATGAAGAAAAAAAGAAAAACCTATCCCTACCTTTATGCTTTCTCAGTTTTGTTTCATACCTTCCCATATAACTTTGAGTTCCACTGCTCAAAGTTTTTAAGTTACAAGTGTTTCAAACTTGTAAAAGAAAATTCAACCATTTTCTTAAATATTTTAGGAATATAATGATGAATCTTAAATTTCAGGAAGCAAAACATGAGCAACCTAAGCTACTAGCTCTGAGAAACTCTCACTGGAAAGGAATTCCAGATACTGTGAGATTTCCATTCTGGAAAGAAGTAGTTGAAATCAGGTTGCTGAGTTTTCCCACAAGCCCTAACAGGGAACATTTACAATACATCATTTTATCGATACCTGTGGCTGTAATCTTCAAGGCCCAATTCCAGGGTGGGATGCGGTGGGAGTGATGGTAGGACTTCACACTCACCCCACTCGTCACGGGGCAGAACCAGGTCTACAAACCAAGAACAAATGAAGCTGTAGTAAACTGCAGGAGGAGACATTCTGACCCTGGTTTTGTATCAGATCCAATTTTAACCAACACATAAACCACGCTTGCAATAAATAATGCTTCATTCTGAATAGAAGGAAGAATGAGTATTATACGAATATTCCCCGTGTGAGAAAATGTGCAAATGCTAATAGGTGTGTCCACCCTGGTGACCTACTAGCATCTGTTGGCCAATTAGGTCCCTGCATCTTGACTTCTATACCTTTTCCCCCTAGGAAGGTAACACATATACTCATGATTTATAATTTGTGCAAGATTAACAAAGCCATATCTTCTGTGTCGTGACATTTTTATTTACAAGATTCTACTAATTATTTAGACTCATTTAATGGGGAAAAATCCCCACCCTTTTGTTACCTTGCCATAATGGAAGCACTTAGGTTTAAGGCCTTCTAAGCAAGCATAAATCTAAGGTCTGAATCTTGTTTTCCCACTTACTAAAAATACATAGCTTTCTATGTTGTTTTCTTTACTAGAAAGATAATGTGTATCCTGAATGTCACTATGGCCAAGAATAAGTAAGATTTGATGAGAACTTGTTATGTAAACATTGTGGTAGGCATTACATATATTATTTCATTTAATACAATTCATACTAATACTAATAAAAAGCATTACAGAATATCCTGCTTAAGAGGATGATTATATGGGGCAAGTCTGCCATATTTCCACTTGTGGCTCCTATTGCTGTAAAAGTTTGTATAAATCACTCAACCTCTTTGAGCCTCAGTATTTTCATCTTTAAGGGGACAATAAGAATACCTTCATTAACAATTATACAGATTAGATAATATGCCACACACAGACTACTAAGTCAATATTGAGCTTTATTGCATAGACAATGATTTCTTTCCTGTGTATATTAAAGTGAAATACTTGATAAAATGTGGACCCTGATTGTCCTTGATTCACAGAGTAAGACAGAAATCTCTCTATCACTAAGAATTACTACTGGAAACAGAATGTGGCTGTATTTATGGTTTTTATATAATGCTGGGAGTTTTTGGATGAAGCAGACTGTGCTGTCTAATGTGGGTAGGCTGAGGCCTGAGTAGGAAAAAAGGGTGGCTTTTCCCTGGGTAAGGGAGAATTCCTGCTTGCCTGCCTTTGAACCAGGATGTCACCTTTCTCTTGTATATGCACCTAAGCTGGGCATTGCTCTTTGTGGGTCTCTGTCTGGCATGCTGACCTTTGGCTGGAGCCACACTGCCAGCTTCCCTGCTTCTCAGGCCTTTGCTTCAAATCAGTACTTCATCAACTGTTCTGGATCTCCAGCTTGACCGAACAAGTAGATCTAAAGACTTGTCAGATTCCATAATCCTGTGAGCTAATTCCTTCTAAACAATATCTTCATTTATTTATAAACATGTACACACACACAGCTGGTTCTGTTTCTCCGGAGAACCCTGATGACTACTCCTAGCTAGAACTTGCTTTAAGCTCTGCCTCAGGCACTAGTCTGCAGTGGAGGGGATGACATGTCCCTGGGAAAGAGGCTCTGAAGCATATCTGATGAGTAGGTGTCATGAAAGAAGCAGCATGATGAACAAAGGTGGCCAGCACTGCCCCTTTCATTTTCACCCTGTGATCCAGTGATTTGGTGGTGTGGATGCAGGAAGAGATTTGCTAAGGGGAAACAGGGTGTAAGAACTGTATTGAAAATAGGAATAGGAACACATTGGGATAGCATCTTTTCTTCTAGCTTGAATCTTTCTATCCTCAATCTCTCAGTCCATCTTCCACACTGGTAGTTAACACAGGCATGAACAGGTGAGTTGCTGTATATAATTGTCTTCAGAATACAGGTCTGTGTCCCTGGCAGCAAACTACCTCCTTTTTTATACATTAGGGGAGTAGACTATGGATTGTTAACTGACCACATCTTACTTGCCTCAGTGTCTTTGCTTATGTAATTGCAAAACCCACCCTAGCTTCCAATATTTTACCCTTCTCTCAAGGCCCATCTCAAATGACACCTTCTCTCTGAAATTTCCAACATTTCTAGGATCTGTCAGTGATCATGTAATAATGACAGAGAATGCTCTTTTCCTGGGTATACAGCTGGATAACATTTCTCTGCTCTCTGTGCTTCTAGGCCAGTCTTGCCAATGGAGTATGAGTTTCTATGGTGAATTTCAATTTCAGCCTCTTTCTCTTCTTGTCCCAACTACCATCCAAAAGCCAAATGAAGGTGCTAGAAGATTGCCAGCCACCAATGGAAGGTCCCTTGATCACTGCAAGAAACACAATCACTTGGAGAATTCATTACCTTTCTGCAAAGCCTTACTGGGCTGTGATGAGACTAAGAAACGCACACTCATGGTTTTTATTTACCCACTGACATTTTTAGGTTTATGGACTACTAAACATTATGTAAAGTACTTCCTGTATAACAATGATAGCATTCTTCCTTTGCAATTAGCTATGCATTTATTAACAAGCTAACATCTATCCATCTGTACCTCTCCTACTAGACTTCCTCCTTGTCCTCCTCATACTCTTCTCCTTCCTCTGTGGAGCTTCTTCTTTGATTATGGCCCCCTTTTTAAAGTAGTAATAGGGGCAGTGGTAAGAATTTTGACTACTCTTATCTTGGTATAGAATTAAAAAACATATTCAGATGTAAGAAATTGTTTTCCTCTTGATTCAATATCTTCATACAGGATTATGATCAGTGTAAAAGTCTAGAATTCTTGTCTCCTAGAAATAATATTTCTGGATTTGAGTATACATGTATCTTCTTAATGATATACACATAGATGTTGACAGTGTGCCTTCTAGTTACTTCATTGAAGGTTAACTGGCCCTTCTTTGAATTACTATCTTTTGTCATTTGTTTTTAGGGATCCATCCTGCCAAGGCCAGAGAAGATGGTAAAAGAGATCTGACTTTAGACAAGGGGTCAGCAAATTATGGTCCTGGTCTAAAGTCGGCCCACCATTGCACTTTGTAAAGAAGGTTTTCCTGAACTCAGCCATGCCCATTTGTTTATGTATGGGTATTATGTGTCTATGGATATATACATACAATGGCATAGCTGAGTAGTAACCGAGATCCTAAGGCCAACAAAACCTGAAAAATTTACCATCCAGCTCTTTAAGGACAATTTGCTGACCCTTACTTTAGACTCTTCTTGAGGGCAGTAACAGCACTGCATTCATTTTTGCATTCCTAATAGTGTGTTCTGCACAAAGGAGGTATCCAATAAACATCAGTCAAATGGAAAAGTGTAATTCAATTTCTCATCACCACTGCAGATATAGTGCCATCCAAGCTATGGAGGGGTGGATACATACTGGTTTCCAGGAAGATACACATTAGGAAGAATTATACTATTATGTGTCTCCTTCAGGGAATACATATTTAGTGGGACATGGCACGGAATCAACACACTTGATTTGAGGTAGGCAGAAAAGGCCTAACTCAGTGAGTGATGCTGGCAGACCTGGGGCAATTGGGGTGCAGAAGAGCTGAAGCAGGAGATGAGCACAAAAGGGGAGATGACAGCAATAGAAAGAGAGGTAATAACAAACCAGAGGCAATCTATGCTTAGAGTGAGATACACCAGTAAGAGTCCTCAGGAAATACAATGTTGGTGCACCTCATTACCATTCAAATACTTAATGGGATTTTATAGTAAACCCCTGGGGCACAGCCTCCATCCTTATTACTATCTTGGAGCACCACACTTATTCCACTGCAGGCACTGCTAGCAATTCTCCAAGACAAATATGAATTTTCTGATGCAGGATTTCTACAAATGTTAGTTCTAAAAATGCCTTTTCTGTGTAATAGTGTGACAGGAATAAAAAACAAAATACTCAGAGAACCGTGGGTGGTATGTACTATTATTATAAAATTAGATGGAACACAGAATCTAAACATTGAATTTTTAAATATACAAAGAAAAAGGAAAAAGCAGGAAAAATGTTGATGCTTGTACTTGTTGATGTTGATGGTTGTACTCATTGCTGTCCTCACCAGACATTGCATTTTGTCAACTCAATCTCGTCTTTCTAAAGGAGGTGCTTAAAAACCTGGTAGTGGTAAGTGAAGTTTCAGGATTTATGAGTTTCTGTGCCTGTTACCAACTTACCTGGCACTAAAACTAAGAATTTCTCAGTAGTTCTCTAACTGTAAAATCATTAGTACTAAGAGGAGATGATAAAGATATTCTTTCACAGAACTATGTTAATTGTTATAATAATAATTATTTTTTGCATCAATCAATAGGCTCAGATGAAAAGTAAGAGATTTTTATCTGGCCTCTAACATGAAATTTAGTGAGTTTGTGCTTTGACATATCTATTTCTTATAAACTAGTATTTTATCATGGACCCATAAGGAAATAATAATGGACGTTTTTCTACTTTTCAAAAACTATATTTTTATTTTATTTTTGTACTAGGGATCGAACTTGGGACCTTGTGCTTTCGAGTCAGGTGGCAGAGCCACTCAGCTAAATCCCCAGCTCAAAAACTATATTGGAATTTTTATGTTAATTTGGAAAATAAAAAAGTCAGGGTGGGGGGACGAAGCAGAAACATTTTGGGGAGCTCATGGTTTTGTTTAATGGTGAAAAAAAAAGTTGCTCAATCTGGATCTAAGCCTCAGGAGGAAGAAAACAGACATATTTCTCAGTGGTTGTCAAAGGCTATTTATGCCCAATTCTGGGTTTATCTTTACACTTGAACTGACTCCATATTTTCATGATTTTAGCCATTGCTACTTTTTCTAGAGATAACCTGTTTTTTAGTATATCCATGTCCTCTAAAATATATTTAGTGAATATAACCTCAGCTCTATATTTTATAGTTATTGAAAATGAACCAAGATGAGCTAACATGTCCAGTGTTTCTTTGGATGTCACTGGTGAAATTAGGAATAAAACTGTAACTTTAGTCACTAGGCCACATACTGCTTGAGAGACAAGTGTTAATCAAATTATGAGGCATTTTAATGCATATGAATGTCATATGTAAAGGTGAGGCATTTTAATACACATATCAGTGTTCATGATGCCAACATGTAGTATTAAGAAGGCTGTTCTATTCTGTGGAAAACCTGCTGCTCCATCCTCCTGACTCTGTTGCTATTGAGTTTTAAGGCCTTAGAAGAAAATATTGCCTCCTCAAGAAGTTGTTTAATTTCTGTAAGGGGATAATGATATACCTTTTCTTTATGTGGATACAAAGTAATCTCTGAATGGTCATTCTTAGCATCAGTTGGAAGATCTTTAATAGTTTCAAGGGATCAGTGTGACTTAGGGCCAATGCTGTGGTTTAGCAGAATATCCTAAGCCAGTGAGACAGGGATTGAATCCAGGCTCTGTGTGTACAGTCTTGGGTCAATTATTTTACCCTCGTCTGACTATGTCTTCATCTGTAAAATGAGGATCATAATATTACTCATTTTGAATGAGTATGTAAATTGCTCACTTAACATAGTATCTACTGTAAACAATAAACAGTAACAGCTGATATAACTACTTTTACTAAAATGGAGGAATTCAGAGGGGGGAAAAACCAACACCCCATTAGGATGAAACAATCCAGTTCTAGAAGAAGTTCAGTCAGATTTCCAAGTCCATTCTGACTGAGAAATCTCAGAGTTCAGAACTTCTTACCATGTAGTTAAATTCTGTCAACATTTTAAGCATCTAAAATACATCCTTTGTTTATCTAGTATGCAGTACCTCCACTCAATAGACTACTAGGGAATGTGATGCTATAAAATATGTGAGGACATACGAAGAGCCTTGTAATGAGCTACTAATTAAAAAACTAATTCTTCAAACATTTCATACAGTAATTTCTTTTATTTTCGCCGGGTGTGGTGGCACGTGCCTGTAGTCCCAGCTATTCGGGAACATGAGGTGGAAGGGTTGCCTGAGGCCAGGAATTCTGGTTTACTATGCCAATCCGGTGTCCACACTAAGTTGGGCATCAATATGGTGACCTTCTTGGAGCGTGGACCACCAGGTTGCCTAAGGAGGGGTGAACCGGCCCAGGTCGGAAACAGAGTAGGTCAAAACTCCCATGCTGATTGGTAATTTCTTTTACTTTCATTTTATGTACACATATTGTGCAGGAAGAAGAGACTTGAAAATGCACATAAAGTATTATTGATTAGAATCTTTTTATACAGAAGTATGAGTAATATTAAATTTTCTTTTTATTGCTTTTCTCTAAATTTTCTACCATGAATATGTATTGCTTTGGCAATATAAAAAAAGAAAGTTATTAAAGAAAAGATATACAGGGAGATAAAATGATTTCTTGGTGACCTGAAGTATAATTTTTGAAAAACAAAGAAGAAAATATAGGTTTTTAAAAAATATATGGAGCACCATTAAAAATGTGATCTATACCACATAAGAGAAATTGTAGTAAGATAATAACAAGAACATCCCAACTGCTACATTTGGATTACAGTATATGGCATTTAACTATCTACCACTTATCTTGGAACCAAGTACAAATCTGTGAGCCATGTTATGAACATTTGATGATTTAATAGAAATCCACAAAACTTTTTAAAGGTACTTGATAATTTCAATATTGAAGGGATGTTTCAGAAAGTAACAGTTTGCTATCTTTGATCCTCTAGGCATGGCTTGTTTTATACATAACCCTCCATGTTTGGGGCATCATGCATAGAAGCTGTCACTTAAACTGTAGGCCTTGCCAGGAATCTGATTTACAAGTTGTGAGTCAGCTCTCCCACCCACCTGTCAGTGTTCATGACTCTGAGTTACAAAGTCTGTACTTTGTCTAGTTAACTCCTCTTTTTCTTTCATTTTTTAAAATAAAAAGGCAGTTCTGTGTTTTCTCACTGCATTTACAGTGGATTAAAATGCTTTCTTACCTTTCTGTTTATCTTGTAGACTGTAACTGTCAAAGGACTGTAATATACCACTCTCATTTCGGCTGAAGGTGGTTAGGGCATTTTGACAGTTCTCAAAGCATGGCTTGGAAAATGCCCCACACTCAGGTGCCTCCTAAGGGATAAAAATAAAAATTACATTTGCTTTTTAAATATGTTTCAAGTTGGTCAGGTGAAGTAAAAAAGAAAAGAATGGTCAACTTATGAATAGTCTTTCAGGAGTATGTATTACATAAGTTTTGAAAGGTGGAAAGTCAAAATGGCCCTATCAGTTAAAACATCTCTGACTATGGAAAATAGTTAAAATATCTATGAAAATGTGCATGCTGATAGCCAACACAAAAGAGGATTAATTTTGTTATTCTTGCACTGCACTTACAACTATCTTCTTTCAAATTTTTTTCCATCTGGGAGTACAGTTTGTGGCAGTATCAATACAAGAATACAGTTCATGCCAATGGTGTTTCTCTGCCAACCAGCTGGTCCCTCGCTCCCTCTCCCTCTTGCTGTCTTCAGATACACACATATGCTCTAGGACAAGTCTGAACCCAAGCAGGCTTTGCTGATGAAATGCCACAAATGTGTCCCACTGTGGACACTGCCAGGTCTTTGGCCAGGATCCACAGATAGCTGCAGTGTCGATGCCAGACAGTGGTTCTTCTGAGATTTCTTTATTTTTTCCCCCTTATTTCTCCCTCCTATTTGGATTCTGGCAGTCTGTAAACAAGTTCACAGTTTTCTTAAAACTGCTATATCCAGAATAACACCCTACAAACCGTCTTTCCACAGGTGCTGTGCAGTACCAGAAGGCAGCCAGCCTCCGCAAACTGGAGCTGCTTTTTCAAGAGGACAGTGGCACAGAGAACTGGGTTTATCTTTGGTTCATATTATTTGTCCCCCTAACAGATTTCAAGGAAGTAGATAATTTGGAAGTTATTTCATAGTTGTTCCCTTGACCATTTGTGAGAGGAACATGCCACAAACAAGAATACAGATTTGATCCTTAATGTGCTTCTCTTCTGGGAAATAATTAGGCTAGAAAATGCATTTCATTTATATGTTTTCTTTTCTTTTTTGGCAGGAGTGATTGAATCTAGGGCCTTCAAACTGAGTTACATTTCCAGCTCTTTATAAAAATAATTTCAAGTGTTTAATTTTTGATACAAGGTCTCCCTAAGTTGCTAAGTTGCCCAGGCTGGGCTTGAACTTGCCATTCTCTTGCCTCAATCTCTTGGAATGCTTCAGATCATAAACATGTTATCAACCATGCTCTGCTTATATTTTCTTTTTCATTATAAAAATTCAGTGTTCAGTGAAACAAAATATTTAAAACATTCAATTTATGCATTCTTAATAATTAAAATGTTTTCAGCTGCTGAAGATCAAGGCTTTGAACACTTCTCCCATAATCAATGTGCTGCCCTTTACCTCTATATGTCTAGTCAGACAAAGCCAGGTGAAGCAAGCTATTCCTCAGTTAAAGCTGAGGTTCTAGCAAGCAAGAGAAGTAGGAATTGCCTTTCATAGCCTTGTGCTTTCATTTAACAATAACAAGAATAAATTTTTTTTCTGCTTTCCCAGCTCTTTGATAAATGACACAATCGATATCCCAACAACTGATCAGTAACCAGCCTAATTAAAGTATCCAGCCTGTAAAATAGAGCTGTCATGGAGCCTTCCATTAGTGTCCCAGCCAATAAAAAATATAATGGGTTTTTAAACATATTCTGCTTCTACCAAGATGAGCTGGCAGCAGAGAGGAAAATGTTTTGGGGAAGGGAAAAACAAAACCAGGTCATAACCTATTTTTTAATACCAAGTCTCTAGGCTCAAATAGAATTACAATTGAACCTCCAACTCATCCTTTGAAAAACATGTTTCTGTTTAAAATGATTTTGATTCAATCAAGGGCCCATTACATATTCTTTACGAGGTTCTCATAAAAACTGTTTGTGTATCTTGTACAATTGGGTAATGCAGGGGCAGGGGACCAACAACTTTTATGTTTTGGCATTTCTTAAGTAGCTTCCTTAATTCTTAAAATATCTATACAGTGTTGAGACAGCCACTTTGCCATTCTTGCCAAATCTAGCTAACTAACCTGAATGTCTGTGTGGTGTTGAGACCTGTTTCTAGGTTATGGCTGCTTTTTTATTGTACTGGAGGGCAACTACTGATGCACGGGAGAATACACTCAAATCGTGAGTGCACAGCATGTGCTCTGACAGTAAAACACAGGTTGGGAGATCAAATAGCTGCAAAGATTTTTTTTTTCAAATTTAATAAAGATAAGCTGTATATTAGGCTGCTGTCTTTATAAGAAATAATGCTCTTTAATCTACATGGGTGCCACAGAGATTCTCAATAGCTGAGAGTTGAGAGTTTGCTTGCTTCCCATGGAAAGCATGTAAGTACTAGGGAAAGAAAAGGATCTTGTTTAAATGTCCTCATAAAAATTGCTTTTTGCCCCAGTTCTTATTCTGGATCGATTCCCTGGTGAACTGTATTAACAAGGCACTTCTGAGGTTGGGCCATAAACTGAAGATTAATACTTTCTTCTGATCAAATAAATAATGTTAATCCATTCCAGACTATATGAATTAAGATGAAAATATCTGTAAAAGGCAAAGTGTCCCAACTGCATGAGCTAAAATGCAGCCCATCTGTCTACTATCATATATATTTTAGAGAGAGATGTGAAATTAGGGAAAAGGAAAGTTGGAGCTACAGCTGTTCCTTCAGAAGGTCCTTCCTTCCCGCATTCCCTCCCTCCATGTCTTGCTCCCTCCCTCCTTTCCTTCCCTCCCCTTCTCCCTCCCCCTCTTTTCTTTTTTCTCTCTTTCTGTCTCCTTCCTCCTTTCTCTTTCTCTCTCTCTCTCTCTCTCTCTCTCTCTATTTTCTTTTCTTTCTTTCCTTCCTTCTTTCTACATAAGCAGGGTACTCTAGAGCAGACCAGACTGTTCCATTCATCTCTGTATCTTTGTTAAAAGGGATCTCAGGGCAGTTCTGATGTGCAGATATGCAGAAAGCACGACTGTGGCCTCCATACTATCCTTCACACCTCTTTCCAATAAATGGGTTCCATGGGTGCCAGGCCTCTAGAGGAAACCAAATTAGACCAAATGGAGCTGCTTCTTCTGTGGCAGAGAGCAGTCGATAAGGGCACTCTAACTCTGAAATAAGTAAGGCCCATTAAATATTCATGGAAGATTCTGTCACTTAGGCAGACGCAAATGTTGAAAATGAGCTTCTTCATTATATGTAGTCTCCAGTAATTGGCCAATTTACATTTATTTAACATCTACAAGGTTATGTACAGAAGAGTGTAAAAAGTAAGATTACTCCTTTCCAGTAGCTGATAACATAACAAAGTAAGATACAGTTTATGATTTTACGATCCAAAACCTACTTCCTCAGTTGAAATAGGTCCTGGATACAACTTTTGCATTCATTCAACAATATTTATAATTTATCTCCTATACTCTGGGAAATGAAGATATGTGAGTGATTAAGAAACATAACAATATTTGTTAACTATAATACTGAACACTCAGGTATATATATATAGTCACATGGCCAATAAACAGCAACCCTAAGATTTTAGCCCAAAAAACCAAAACTTCCAAGCTTAAGCTTTTAACTGCAAGGATCCCCCCTGCAACCTACTGCTGTTTAATTTGATATAGTTTCACTTTTAAATTGAATTTATTATATTTTATATTAGTATTATATTTTATAGTAGTGCTTTTAATAGTATTCTATGTCAATCTGCAATGTACTGTATTACATAAACATATTTTGGCTGTAAAGAGAATAATATCTTCCTCATATGTTATTTCGAGATTGGATAAATTTTTAACTTTCATATTATTAAATTTTTCTAAAATAATAGGAATATTTAATAATTAGAAAATATAATGTTTTAAGAATATTTTATATTTATACTTTTATGTAAA